TATCCTAATGTAACTCTAATTAATATTACATTTGTTCCGAAATAGTTCGTCATATTGACTTTTATTAGTCAATAATACGTAATAGCAAATCTTGGACAATTATATTAATTATTATATTTGTATACAATTTATAAATTTTATAGTTCTATGAAAAATTTTTAATCATGAATATTTTGATATAGTTTTCACATTCAAAATAATTTATTATATTAAAAAACAGGTCGAAATTGATTGCTACTGCACTGATATGCGGACTGTGGCTTAGAAATTTTTTTAAAAGCCAAAACAATGTAGTTTTGATATTTTAGATTAATAAATAGGGAAAATAATTTTAAATAATACCAACTATCTTCCATGAACCAAGATTAATACATAGTTTAGAAATAACTTTTAATAATAACAACTATTTTAGTGTATAACAAAAATAAAATGGAGTCACTTTTCTACTAGAAATCCAATCATTTAAGACATCAAAAACTAATATCAAACCAATCAATAAATGATATTAGGAAATATGGTCACTTATTTGACATTTTTTTGGGTACTAATTTTTGATGAATTACATGACTGATTTTCATGAGTGAAAATTTGCTATATATTACTTTTGCTAAATAGGACTATATGTTTATAATTCCCTAAATATGACTTATTTAATCATATTGAAATAATAAAATATCATCAATCAAGATTCTATGGGTCTTATTTTAGTAAGAAAATAATGATGATCCTATTTATGCATTTTGTCAATGTTTTAGTGTTATTTAAGGAATTTACACTATTAAAAATTATTTCTATTATATAATTTTTTTTCCCTAATAAACTTAAAACTAAAAAGGATGCTACCATTGCACCATAACGACCATTACACTCCAACCTAGTTTTTGACGTATTTATATATTATGTTATTAATTTATACAAAATATATAATATGTATATACTTCCTCCGTTCTTTAATAGTTGCAACAATTTGACTTTCACGTTTGCCAACGCGCAACTTTGACTTTAATTATATCTAATTACGTATTAATAAAAATTATAAAAAGTTAATATTTTGAAAATTCACATCAATAGAAATTTATTGACATTTTATACATAATAATTTGATTTTATATATTAATAGAAAATCGTGGTCAAAGTAAGGTGTGTGAATAGTGCAAATATCCTAATGTTGCAACTTTTAAGAAACGGAGGAAGTATATATATGTAATATTTTGGAAGTCGATGGGGTCCCGGGACCCGTGGGACCCTTAGTGGGTCCGCCTCTAGTTTGAGGTATTTTAATTACTTTTCCCATTTAAAAATGTATACAAAAAGTTAAAAACAACTTGTTTGAAAGCATTTTTATATGTGACAAACATTTGTAGTCCGTAAAATTAGATTTTTTTGACTGACATTTATTGTATGTTTCATACTTTAACCGAAAAAAGTCTTGTGAATTTTCTCTTACAATGTGTTAAAAAATGATACTGGTACAATTTTTTGGCCATTTCGAAAACATATTTCTCTATGTCAAACATTTATTACGTATAAAATTAAAAAAATTATGACTGATAATTTTTTATGCGTAATGTAATTTTAGAGACAATATATTTTAGGACTAAGGCTTGGATTTTGTATTTCTATTGTAATTTTAGAGACATAAGTTATCTGTGCAATTTTTTTTAAAACAATATTATTTTATCCGAAATTATAACCCTAATCATGTCAAAATTTATAAAAGCGGAAGATGTTAGTTCAAATTTGACGAAGAGGGCCACATTTACAACTACTCTTACTATTGACGGGTGACATTTGAAAACTCAAAATCATGAGTATTACATTTCAATATATGTACAATTTAAGAGGATGCTAATGCGATTATCCCTAACAATAATTATGGTAAGGGTGGAACTTGTAAGTTACTCACAATACTTTATTGGAGATTATTAGAGATGAAGTATTTAAAAATGCTTCGACCAATTGCTAATGGACTAAAATAATTTGTTCTAATATTTATGTGAAAAAGATTAGGAAGAAGGCCACATGGCGTGAAAAATTATTACTTCGTAGAATATTTTTTAGTTTGGAAATACATTTAGAAAAATTAATAATCCAATAAAGAATTCTTTTATACATTTAGAATATTTATGCTTTAAACTTCCGTAAAATGGGCCTACGTGCTCTCTAATGAGCACGTTACGTGCTTATTAAAATTTCTGCCCGACAATCTCTCTCATTCCCCTATTCATCTATTCATGATGATCTTTCTTCCTAAAAATAATTCACAAATGTAAGAAGATCTTTATATGTGCCGGAAGAGTCTAGAATTATTTGAGATAATCTCCTTTGAAAAAATCTGGAAATTTTACTTTGAATTGAAGATTCAATTGCTCCATTTTTATCAATTTTGTTCTCTGCGTACTATCGTGTGCCAATAAAAACATACTTGCGGAGCATTTTCATGAAAAAGTTCAGATCCGATTGAAAATTCTTCCTAATGAAAAAACCTAAAAGTGATAAAGAAATCTAAGCTGGTACACAATTTCAATTGGGACATATAACTAGCATCAGGGACGGATCCCGGATTTGGAGTTAAGGGGGGCGAAATTTTTTTCGTTAGTGTAGTGGGTGAAATTTTTTTCGCTAGTGTAATCGTGCGATTTTTTTTTTGCTAGTGTAGTGGGGCGAATTTTTTTCCGCTAGTTTCGAAAGGCTTTGCGGCTAATTTTTATTAAAAAAGAATTCATAAGTACATACATGATGATATTTAAATACTCCCTTCATCCCAGAAACAACTTCTCGCTTTCCTTTTCGGACAGTCCCGAAATTAACTTCACACTTCTTCCCAGTTCCTTATTTGGCAAATTCTCTACATTCAAAAAGTGTCAAACAGTACCAAACAGTGCCAAACAATGTCGAAACAGTGTCCATACAGTAAAATTTATCCCCCAGCATGTTTATTTCCTTAATATGTGTGAAATTGTGAAAACGAAGTTTAAAGTTGTTTACGGGATGGAGGGAGTATATTACGAGCCCGTTTGGTGACCCTTTTTCGGCTTATCAGCCAGCTTTTTAACCAAACACGTAACTTTTTATTTCGCGCGCTGGAGTTTATAATAAGCGGAAAAAGTAAGGTTAGAGTTACTTTTCTGGCTGTATTGGCTGAAGTTACTGTAGAGGATCATTTTAGCTATTTTTCATATAATTTTTTATTTAATTTATTAATAACATATATTTTAAATATAATTTTTTCATGATTCAGCAGAATCAGCCAATACAGCCACTTCAGCCAGAACTTCATAAATTTCAGCAGAATCAGCCAATTCAACAAATTTTAGTGTCACCAAACGGGCTCTACATTCTAAGTTTAGACAATGAACAAATAACTTTGATTTTATAATTTTATGTGCTTTAGAAAAATGTATTGATACATTAAAGCGTAAGAAATAGCAAATTAAAGGAAAATTATTTGAAAATAACAAAGGATATATAACATTTTATCAAATTATTTGAAGGTAAAGAGTTTAAAAGATGCACAACCACCAATGCTTTTTAAATAACTCATGTCATGTTTAACAACATGAATCTTATCGGTAAAAGGAATTGATTTTTGAATTACAAATTTTGTTTACCAAGAAGGGTGTTCGTGAGTCATGAGGATAGTATGTACGTAGTATGATATTATTATTTTTAGAATAATATTATTGAATTGCAAATTTTGAATTGCAAGTTTTGCTAATATTACAAAAGTATAGTATGTACGGAGTATGAGATTATTATTTTTAGAATAATATTATATCGTTGATTCTTAGATTGATGTATTTTCTATCTTTCCTTTCTTTTTTCTTTTATCGTTTATCTTCTTTATCTTTTTATATTCTTATGTTATTTTTATCTTCTAGCTTTTTTATGCTCTTTTATTTTTTATCTTTTATCTTTCTTATATTCTTGTGTTATTGTTATCTTATATTTTTTTCTTTATTTTATTCGTCTTATTTTACTTCTTTTTCTTCCATTTCTTGTCTATCTTCTCTGTTTGGCATCGATATCATAGATCGATTCATGTTAACCGACTCCAAATTCTTTTGGGATTAAGGCTTGGATGTTGTTGTTGTTGTGATAAAATAAGTTGAAATTTATTATCTATGCAATAAATTAGTTTTAAAGAGTAAGAAGTAAACGAATTGTGTAATTTTAGATTCATTTCACATGATCGAAAAATTGTTTAACTACTGTGTCTCGTATATAATATTGTTTGATATTTTACAAATCGAGTAATAATTATCTAATAAATTAAAGATAATTAAACATTTCAAAACTATGAATTTTTATATAATAGGTATCCTAAGTCTTGAACAATGAGTTGTTCTATTGTATATTTGCTTAAGTTATGTAAATTATTTTAGATGTTTCATCTTTCAAATCTCCAATTAAGTATTATATAATGTAAGACTATATATTAATTTTGAAAACTAAAAGTTAAGGGGGGCGAACACATATATATCTAATTAAAGTATAAAAATTTTATGAAAATATTAAATATATTGTAGAAAAATTTGAAAGTCCAAGGGGGGCGGTCGTCCCCCCGCCCCCCCCCCCTCAAATCCATCCCTGACTAGCATGTTTGGAGGAAGTCATCTGGGCCAGTGGCAGACTCAGAGATTTGTGAGAGCGGAGCACACTAGACACTAAACTTAGTCTATAATAAAAATCCGGGCCCGAAGCGGGGCACTGATTTTTACCTTAACTGCTACTATTGAATTTCCGGGCCCGAAGCGGGGCATGGGCATCAATGTCTTGGTAGAAAGCAAAAGATTCAGTAGTATAGGATTGGAGGCAGAGCGAGGCGACTGAAAAAGATAATAATGTAATATTTAGGGATTACTTTGTAATATTCGATAACTCTGTTTTATTATAAATACAAGGCTAAGACATCCAATAGGGTAAGCCATTATTCTCCCAATTATATTTTCGTATAAAAGATAGATACCAATGATGTACTCGATCCTCGTTTGTCATCTGAAAAAGCTGGTTATTTTAATCCTCTCAATTGCTCATTATCACAACTCTTTATAGCCATTATTATTTTTATTACAATATTAAATAGTATACCTGTATAATATGTATACTATATACGAGTACATGTGAAACAATGACTACGAACTAGTACAAAATAAAATATCTATTCAACAACGTGAACAGCAATCCGAACTACATAGAATTATTTATTATCAACTGAATTTATTATTCAATTAGAAATGGGATATATTAAATGAAAATTAATTATTTCTCCAGCCCTATGAATACGTACGTAGTCAGGCAACTTGGATTTTTTCATGGGCAGAATTATCAGCCAATCCGTTCTGCTTGTCAATAGTGTTTTCATTCTTTTCCAGTTTCAAGGGCACTATTATCTCCTGCTGTTTTACAGTGGGAGAGGGTTCCTTAATAGAGTAGGGAAGCAATCCCCTCTTCCGCAGGTTATCTATGGCTCCTCTGAACATGTCCTCAAGAGTGTACTTGAATTCAAACCCCAATTCTAGCAACTTCTTGGATGAAAAGGACACCACTGGCAAGTCCTTTTCAATGCCCTTAAACCTGTCAAAATATGCCCAATGAAATGCCTTATAACTTAATAGCCCTCCTATTTGTACCATCCTTATACCCACCAATGTGCGAGGCTACTTTTTTGTCGTCAGTGAATCCCATTCTTGAACCATGTCTTTGTAAATTTGCACAGACAAAACATGTAATGTTTTGTTGACATGTTTTGTATTGTCTGAAAAATATGTCATGTTTTGTCTGAACGGGATTCACATGAAAGAAATAGTCTCTCACATTGGTGGGTATGAGGATGAGTATAAGAGTGAGTATAAATAAATTTTTTCATAACTTAATGCTACCAAGATATTTAAATTTTGTTGAGTCATCTCACCTAAATCAATTATAACAATAAACCAATATATAATATCGGAAACTACTATCATTAGGTTTAATTAACATTTAGCATGTGTTGAGGTTAATACCCCTATGGTCCGAGAGCCCAACACGTTCCCTCGGCCTTCATCGGGATGAGAATGATGCTTATATTGAGATGGATATTTAATAAGGTGAAGACAACAAATATATATGACTGGTATAGTGAGAAAGTAAAGTGCATTCAATTCGGGTCTTATTAATTAATGAATATAAAACGCTTACAACACACTCTTATCAAACCCTACCCTCCAACCCCAAGAGAACATTGAATGCTTCAGAAATAGTACCACATTGTTTAAGCAAAAAACATTATTCTTATTTAGGGGAAAAACAAAATACTAGCTTCTTTTTAGAAAATCACTTTTATTACTATTTGTGAAACTTCCCATTTTATTTTGAACATTTTAAATTTAAATGTGACATAGTTATAACAAATTAACTATGGATTAATAAAGAGTGGAATTAAAGGTAGCTTAATTACTCAGAAGGGATGTAGTATTCGGGCCAATTCTTTCTGAGCATCTTTGATAAACCGTGAATGGTGGTATGATGAGAAGAGCAGATGAATCTCCCCTCTGCTTTGGGATTTTCATACAAGAATATGTGAGCCTCGCACAGATCATCCAGATGCACAAACTGCCCTTGCTTTATTATAGAGTAGTGTGGTTCGTTTCCTACAAAAAGTTGCCATTATTTTTAATCTACAAATTTCAATTCTTTTAAGAAATATTATTATACTGCACAATTTATTACTATAGTTCAAGGATTAGAAGAATGTAATAGACTAATAGTGTGATAAATGAAAGCAACATTAATACTCAGCTCTATGGGTTGCATTTCAATCAAACGAGAACAATGTTAAAAACAAAATCAGACTAAACATATACCGGTAGAATAGTAAAACACACATAATATAACATTACCATACTATATCGTACCAAATTTAAATGTATCAATCTAGACTAGAACCTGACTTAGCGTGGTGATGTAAAAATATGTAACATTTGTTGTAATTAAAGTGGTGTTTATCAAATTTACCCGACCAAGAACTGTGCTATTTTGTAGGGAAATGTGTTTAAGGAATACCGGTTATGGGTGAGAGTGCGGTGATGAGGCTGGGAGGAAATGTTGGGGTGATAAATTTGCCAACCACGAGTGGGGGTATAATGCTGATGAAATCAATTTTCTTTTCTTTGGCAACCTTCCATGCTTCCTTCTCTGCAAGTGTCTTGGACACAAAGTACATCTGCAAAAGAAGATTTGACAACTAATTATTGTCATTAAGTTCCATTCCTACTTCCATCAACATGGGAAAGTTTGTAGGGTACTCTTTGAGCCCACAAGTTGACCAAGTCAATCAAGTGAATGACACGTGTCACATTTCCTACACATTTTAATGATTATGTGATGTGTGATATGATTCATATGATGTGTCACATTTCCTACACATTTTTGGACTTATCGTCAATTTTTCAACATTTCGCGCGTTGAATTGTGTTATAATAATAAAAAGTATGATTGAAATTATTTTTCTCGTTGTATTGGTTGATGTTACTGTAGAGGGTCATTTCAGCCATTTTTTCATATAATTTTTTATTTATTTTATTAATACAATAGATTTTAAACATTTTTTTTATAAGTCAGCATAATCAGTCAACGCAACCACTTCAGCTAGAACTTCATAAATTTCAGCATAGTCAGCTGATTAAGCCAATTTCAGTGCTACCAAATGGGCTCTTAATATAATGGATCTTTAACTAGGGCAATCCAAATTTCAGGATTCATCCTTTGGCTCTTTAATAACGGTTCATTTTATGGATTTTACATGTATATAGTAAAGATGATAAAGAAGATTAAAGATTGTAACAAACCCATCCAGTCATTTTCTTGTTGTATATGAAATCCAAGTCACTCCAATTGCTCTCATCGTAGATGGGTTTTTGTGTTTCTTGGACATTGAGAGTTCCGGCTGAAGAAGTGAAAACTAGCCTCTTCACCGTCTTTGCTTTCACACAAGAGTTTATGATGCTCACCATTCCCTTAATTGTTGGCTTTATTACCTCATTCTAACACAAAGCACACATATATACATAGTATAAGAGAAAAGAACCTTGATGCAAATAGGAATATTTTGTATGTATTAAACAATGAAACCTTATGTTAATCTTGTAATATTTCTCATACAATGTTAATAAAGCAAAAATTAGGCACAAAATATGATTATATGGTTTTATGGGTAAGAAGTTTGGTAAAAAATTACTAGAAATTTTCGTCTCATCCTAACAATTTTCTGACTAAGCCATTGGTGTCATTATTAGCTTGACTATGATAATGTAGTTGTCAATATATTTTAATGTTCTCATAGTATTAAAAAGTAGAAATTGATTAATATATAATATAAGATCAAAACATTGAAAAAGTTTAAAAATAAGATTAAATATGTTTTATTTCCCAAATAGAAATTATTTAGTCTCATTAAAAGAATAAATTGATTAAAATTTCTCAGCTCAATAGAGTGATTGGACCCTATTTTTGGAATAAAATATAACAATCCTATTCATTATCTTTATCTTTGTCTCAGTAACTCTCTTAAAAAAATTAATTTCACTTGCAAAAAATAAAAAATTAATTTCCTTACTTTTTCCACAGACATTATGAAGACTGAAATATGTGCGTAATAAAAAGTCAAACTTTCACTACAAAAATATCCATGGGATTTACACCTTCCAGTAATTCTAGCTAGATTTTTACACGGATTAATTAAATTAGTTTTAATTTCCCAAAATGAATATTTATATATACTAAAAGACAAATTCTCTGAAATTTAAACGGGAAATTTTATTTATTTGTAATATATACCTCTGGATCTTTGGACTCAAAATCCATAGGGGTGGCCACATGAAATACACCTTCACAACCTGCAATAGCTTCATCAAAGCTTCCCTCTTCCTCCAACAACCCTTTCCACAGCGTTAAGTTCAGGTCGGCTTTCGACAGTTCCAACAAATGCTTCACCTTCTTTGTGTTTCCTACGTAACACATTAAAGATAGATATTTATTCGAATAAATATTTTGAGAACTTTTTTTAGCATAACAGTAACATTTTCTGGATTTTTTGCTTCAAACTTAGGTTACTTTGGAATGTTAAAACTATTTCATTTTAAATAGTACTGAAAATTAATCGTAGAACGATCCAAAAATGAAAATTATAAATTAAACTTATCTTAGGATGGAAAAGGGTATCCATATTAACTACCAAATTAACAATAACATAATTAGTTGGGATCTTTAGTAGGGATTTTGGCACGAAGTATTTGTCACAAAATCATCGATCAATCCGCACCAAATCTATGTTAATCCCGTTATTTTTTATAGTGATTCTCGAACTGAACAAGGTAATTTGGTAAAAGAAAAATGTGACGGATAGATACCAGGATCCCTAACGGTTGCATGAACATGGTAGCCTCGTTGAAGAAGGCGCATGACTAGCCATGACCCGATGAACCCAGACGCTCCGGTCACGCAGACCGTGGGCGCGTGAACCGTAAGACGCGTTGAAATAATATCCCGATGAACATCACTCCCAACTCCGACCATTTCTTTGTTCTTCCTACGTTAATGTTACTCTCCCCAGAAGAGACAATTAAAGTAATTTACACAAGTGATTTATGATGCTTGCTTATTTGTTTATATAAATATCTAATGAATTGTACGGTACGTATTAAGGTGGAGTAGGAGGCTATACACCGCCCACGCGACGACAGCCGAAATGCGTGCAGCGCGCGCTCAACCCCCGGTTTGGTAAGTGAGCGAGTCAACTCAAATAGCTTAATTTGGCCTTAGCAACAAGACGGTAGCTAGAGGCCTATTCATTTACTGGGGTACTCTATTTAATACCTCATCATTATATTTAAGTAATATAAGGTACAAATCGGCACATGCATGCCAGAGCTTATATTTAGGGTTGACATTTTGAACCGAAAAACCGAAAAATGAATCGAAAATAATTGAACCGTTTTAGAAAAAAACGAACCGGATCGGACCGAACCAAACGAAATCAGGACCCAATAATCGAGACCCGAAAAAAATCGATTCGGGTTCGGTTTATGTGCAGAAAATATCGGTTCGGACCGAACCGAATCGACATTTCTATATTAATAATAATAATTTTTATTTATAATAATAATAATTAATGATGTTTAATAAGGTATAATATTTAACCGAGTGTAGTTTGGACATACTTGACGCCAGGGGCGGAGCCAGGACACTATAAAGGGCTGGGCCGGAATTGAACTAAAAAAATTCTTAAATATAAGTGTAGTAATAAAATTAAGTTCAAGTGCATCACAAATGTTTTTACAACAAAACTACTAGAAATTTAGTGCATCAAACATTCAAACTAAAAAGTCAACTGCATTCTACGGTCTTTTATTTTAGCAAACTCATCGATAAGAGAGTCAATATCTATTGTACTGACAAGTTCCCTCTCAATGAAGATTGTCAAACTATCAGCAAGAAATTCATCAGCCATTTTGTTGCGAATTGCCGTCTTGACATGTTTCATTGCTGAAAATGCTCTCTCGGTTGTAGCCGTGGAAACCGGTAATGTTAACACAAGACGTATCAATCTTGTCAACATTTTGAAATCGTCTGCCTTTCTTGTTTTCACCAACATTTCACATAAATGCGAAAGAGTAGGAACTTGGAATTGAGAGTTCTGAGCCACATGAATATGATAAAATGTCAGTTCACTCTTTAAAGCATTTCTCTCGTGTTGCTCAAAATCATCAGGATAAAACTCCACTGCAAGATTATAAATATGATCAGCATTAAATGATTCAAAGGAGTTTCTCGGATCCAATGCCACACTGAGCTCAAGTAGTCTAACTGATTTCTCACAAAATCTTGAATTCAACTCCGCCACTTGATAATCTATGGATTGGGTAAAATATTCAAAGCGGTAATAATGTTCAAGATCTACCTCACTCCGCCCACGCCGCATTTTGGTCTTCATGTCTGGGATAGTGATGTTATGTTTTAAACAAAACTCTTCCACTTGTTTCAATAGATTATCCCATCCATCATCCCTTAGACTTTGAAGAAGGGTTTTGGATGTTGAAACATACCCTATTGCTGATAAAATGTCCACTGACTCCTTTTGAAATGCTTGACAAAGAAAATCAGTTATAGCCATAATAGCTTTCATTACGTGCAAGCCAAAGACAAAATTAAAACTCTTCAAGCTAGTGCAAGCTCCATCTGCTTCGTTTCGAGCCTTAGGGTTCGGCCCATCACAAGCAATATTATCAAGTACCTTACAAGTAGCATTGTACAATTCTATCATACTAAGAACAGAATCATAATGAGAGCTCCAACGAGTTGTACCTGAACGTTGTAAAGAGGACATTTGATTGGCTCCTCGTCCAGATTCACGCTCCCCACTTGCCAACAGAATGTCAATTTCTTCTCTATGAGTAACTTGTAATTCTGTGTTGCGCTTAGCAGAAGATTTGATAATGTTAATCACTTTATCCAAAATGGAAAAAATCTCCAAATAGGATCACACTGTTTTGCTGAAGCCACCAATGTCAATTGCAACCTGTGAGCAAAACAATGCACATAGTATGCATAAGGACAATCATTCAGAAATAGTGCTTGCAATCCGTTCCATTGTCCACGCATATTACTAGCACCGTCATATCCCTGGCCTCGTAACTTATGGACTTGAAGATTGTAATGAGAAAGAACATCACAGATCTCATGCTTAAGTGTTTCTGAAGAAGTTTCAGCAACGCCTTTAATTGCAAAAAAACGTTCTGTTAAAATACCAGCAACATTCACAAATCTCAAAATTATGGCCATTTGCTCCCGGTCAGATTCATCCTTTGCTTCATCAACAAGAAGACAAAAACACAAATCTCCTATTTCTTCACGTATCATACGGCGAACTCTATTAGCCATTAAAGATAAAATTTCTTTCTGGATATCAGGTGAAGTGTATTTGGCATTTTTGGGAGCATTACCCAATACAACATCTCTGACTTCTTCATTCCACTTTGCTGTGTAAGTAATCAGTTCTATCATATTTCCACGGTTCAAAGATTTTTCAGACTCGTCATGACCTCTAAAAGCACAACCCTGTAACGCTAGCCACTGCACAGTCATGATTGATGTCTTTAATCTTAAACGGTTTTTTAAAACTTCTTCTTTGCTAACTCTCTCAATCACTTTATCAATATGCTGAGCTGGGTAGGGAAGTAGCATACGTCACACATTTATTATGATAAGAATAAGGTGATGTACCTGTGTGAAGAAAAAATACACATTCTTTGCCTTGATGAACTCTCTATTTAATACCTCATCATTATATTTAAGTAATATAAGGTACAAATCAGCACATCCGCACATGCATGCCGGAACTTATATTTAGGGCCGGCATATTGAACCGAAAAACCGAAAAATGAACCGAAAATAATTGAACGTTTTAGAAAAAAACGAACCGGATCGGATCGAACCGAACGAAATCAGGACCCAATAATCGGGACGCGAAAAAAAATCGAATCGGGTTCGGTTTATGTGCAGAAAATATCGGTTCGGATCGAACCGAATCGACATTTCTATATTAATAATAATAATTTTTATTTATAATAATAATAATTAATGATGTTTAATAAGGTATAATATTTAACCGAGTGTAGTTTGGACATACTTGACGCGTAGCTGAGATAGTCAAGATACGTTCTAGGCTGCGATTGGGCTAGTGGGTTCAAATATTGGCAAGTTCTAATGGGCTTTAGTCTATTGAATATTAGTTCAAATTTATTTATTATAATTGAATCGGTTTTTTTCAGTTTCTGGTAAACCGAACCGAAAAAATCGAGCACAAAAAATCGGTATCCGTTTATATACGGTTCGGTTTCGATTTTGATAATTTAGTAAATCGAAATATCGGTTCGGTTCGGGGATATACTGAAATGGTTCGGGCCCCGAACCGAATCCAGCCCAACTTATATTGGTCTCAACCTCAACCGTTACTTGGAAAAGTGTTACACGCCAAGCTTTGTACCCATAAGTATTTGACTACATATTATTTGATGATTTTCTTTAAATTGAATGAAATCATAGGTACATATGTATTGGTGATGACTGACGAGTCATTTTGGTTACAGTAATGTTGAGGTTGGATTGTTGGAATATGAAAGTTCCAGATATCGTCTAAAGGGATAACCTATATTAAAGAAAATGTGAAATCAATTCAGTGTTAAATACGTAAGTTAGTCAAATTTGTTGGAGATTTCTTGAAAAATTAAGCTCAATTATTATTTTACATGGTCTATTAACATTTTTGTTGCAAAAAGAATATATATGGCGTAATAGTTATTATTTAATGTTATGAGCATTACGGTTTTATTTTTGGTAGTGTCATCTCATAATATTAGTAATAATATTACATAATTATATACTCTTATGAATATTTTAGTTGATGCCGTTTTGCAAAAGGAATATTTTTAGCAAAAGGAATTTTTTTTAGTTTATGCGGCTGTTTTTACAGGTGCATGTAATTATTTTAAAGGATGCCTTATCCTTTTGAATTGCCGCACTTTGGGAAAATTATTTTAAAGGATGTTCTTATCCTTTTGAGTGGCCGCATCTTTTCAAATGGTTTTTCTTATCTTTGGTTGGTTTTTGACTCTTTTCAAAAGGTCGCCATTTACATATTTATATTGCTAGACCATGTGAATTTAATAGAACGAAAAAATCATTTTGTCAATTTCTCTAATTGTCTTACTCTATTACTTTTATCTGCAGTATCGGTAATAAAGTGTTTAGACCACTTTATATACAAATCACTTGTTCAGTGTTATTTTATCAGTAGTCAGGGCCGGCTAGAGCAATTATAAGGCCCTAGACGGTCATGTAGAAATTTTGTTTTAAATATGTTTTATTTAACCCAATGATATAAAAAAATAGCAATTAAATATAAGTAAATTACATATAAAATACATCATATACTATTAACACAGTGAGAATATTCTTCGAAATCAGAAGATCAAAGTTGATGAAAAAATACAAAGAGCCCTAGAGGGAGAAGGTTTTGTGCTTACATACAACATACCGATCGATAGAGCCGGAAAGTGATTTCATGACCAAATCATTTCTTAATTTTTTTCTTTGTCTTTGTACATCTTGATTCATATTTTGTTTTCCAATCATCACAAAACATAAAATTTCATTCAAAATAATACTATCACTAAATATAAGTTAATGGTTCATAGATATAAATTTAATTCACTAAATTTAATCAAATATAAAAAATTATAAGTATGTTCAATATTTCGATGAATCAAAATAACAAATTACAATTTCAATTATTCAATAAGCATTCAAATATATTTAGAATACTCATTATCCTAAATCCCTAGCCCTACTGCCCTAGCCAACAAAGAAAAACAAAAGGAAAAAGGAGCAAATAAGCCCACATACTAACCAAAAAGGTCAAATAAGCCTTTGTATAAGAGACTTTGTCCCACCGTCGTCATTTGGGGCAGTTCCCGGTGGAATTGTTTGATGAATTTTTTTTAGAATCTTATTCATTAAGTCTTGTTTACTTATACCAAATTTCAGCTAACAATTCAACATGGAAGGCATTCAAATAAATTCTTGAAGATGACTGCGCTTTTAACTGCGCAGTTATCT